ACAAGTTGTTTAACACCAACAACTTCAAGAAAGTCACAAAAGCTTTTGTTTCATATCAAAGAAAACCAAAAGGAAGAGGTCTTCTCTCTGTTTGTGTGTGTGTGTGTGTGGGGGGGGGGGGGGCTACGTTTTTGCTACATCATGGGAATCATTTTCCAGAAAAAGGCAGCCTTGTGGGGACCAAAGCCCGGAGGCTTTGAGGTTAATTTTTGAGTAAATGGTCAGAATTAGGATATAAAATTACCAAAAAAAGGTGAATGGAAGTCAATCCACGGTCCCATGGGGATATAAAAACAAACCTGTGTGTGTTTCTGTTTTTAGTCTCTGTGCTCAGTGCTTTTTAAAATGTTCAATACTCAAAGAAGTGGTCTGGTCATTTATGATGATCTGTCACTCAGATATCAATAGTAAATATCGCACTAGACTGCGGCCATTTGGCAAATAACTATAAGGCATAGACTTGAATAAGAGCACTAGACTAGGCCCCACCCATACTGGTAGCATCTGTGACAGCACGGAGGAGCAGAAATGGCAAAGCATTCTCATGCCTCCCGCATCAACATATTGACGCTTGGTCAGGTAGCCGTCTGTGTCCACTTTTGGACCCACCAGGTAGCCCCCGCGGGTCCGTTCTTTACGAGATGAGGCGGAGGAGGAAGAGCGCATTGTCATATTTTATTACAAGAGTATGAAATGTGCGAAACAAACCATCCCAGACTGTAAATTTAACTTCTATTAGCCTTATACAGCCTATCCCTGACCACAGACCCTAAAATTAAACATTAACCCTGATCCCTCATATTAACCATTTTTAAAATGTAGAGAATTTGCGAGAATTAACACCCCAGACCGTAAATTTAACCTAAATTAGCTATATACAGCCTATCCCTGACCCCAGTATCTCAAACTAACCATTAATCCTGATCCCTTATGTTAACCTCAGACCCCGACCCAAAGACCCCTGAGTGACGCAATCCGGAAAAGCCGCTGGCGGCAAGGGGTTAGGGATTACACTCTGTAAATCTAATTAGAGGGCAAAGTAATATTTAATAGTTTGTGTTAAATTGTAACATGATTCAACAGAGCTAAACTCTGTATATATGCTCCACAAGCTAATATCTGCTAACCAGTTCAATAAATAACAGTGATTACATGGACTTTATAAGATTATTTTAATTTTAAACTGTTACATTATGTTCTGCTCAGATCACATTGAGCTAAATAAGATCAAATCTGCTGACTTGTGTTGTAAAATGAGACGTTTTCCTGTTTATCTTCTGTTAATAAATCCATAACACAAACAGCTTTTCTGGCATTATTTAAAACATTAGATAGTTTATATAAACTGTAAAATATGAGTAATAATTTGGTTAATATTATTATTAATAGTTTTAATGATTTCTACATCGTCGGTCCTTTTTTTCTGCTCTGTTGTCAACATGTACAGTAATGGGAAATCCAGACTCTTGACCGTTTAGCCGTTAGCTTCTCCAGCCGATCACACGGTCACCTGATTTCTGAGCACTCCAGCTGTTCTATAGAACCTCCTTGTTTCCACTCCACAGACACGCCCCCTGCTGGCTGAACTGCAGCATTTTCAGTCAAGACTGTAAATTATTGTTTGAACTAAATACTTATTAAAAAAATTATTCAACAGCAATCACGTGTGATCGCGCTGTGTGCGTACCGAGACGTAAGCGGAATGTTCACGACAGAAAACAAAGTGAGCTGCTCCGGCAAAGACGACGCCATCGGCAGGAGTCAGTCAGAGGCGGAGACGGTCTACCAGGAGATCAGGTGGGAGCTCGCATCGCCTCCTATTTAATACCCTCAGTCAGCAACACAGACGGAATGACGGAGCAGGTGTTGTAATTGTGTTTGTGCAGCAACACTGTTGACGATGAGGAGGAAATGCTGTACGGAGACTCCAGCGTCAGCACTACGTCTACAAAAGAGGAAGCCTCCCGCAGCTCTGCGGCGCCAGCTGCCACTGCGAGTGAGGGAGGCCCGGGCAAAGCAGAACCCTCCCACTGGTGTGTGATTATCAGGGAGAATGGAGTGATGGAGGTAACTGACTATATATGTTTTAGTAAGGAAAATAAGGTTTTACAGTGGGCCACAAAAGTATTAACTTTCACATTCTCTCTGCACTTAAAGCTGGGATTTAAAAGGAGGTTTTTGGGGAATTTGTGCCTTTTTTATTTACATAACATAACTGCTACTTTTTTAAGTTTTTTTTTTTTTTGGTTTGTTTTTGTGGAACAAACAAAAAAGGCAAAAAAAACCAAGAAAACCTGAGCGTGCAGACCTCTTCAACCTCTCAAGGTCCATACTTTGTAGTTAAGTGTGGGAATCTTTCACTATCTCACAATTCGATTTAATTCAAAATTGATTTTTTTATTAAAAACTGATAAAGTGAGCCAATTTGTCGTGTTCCCCAAGTGCTTCCTCTTCATTTTGCAAACCTTGCACACAATAAAGCTCATATCAAACTCATATCAAACTCATTCGGTAAAAACCAAAATGAGCCCAAATCTTTTCCTTCAAAGAAGACAGGGCCGGTTGAATCTATCTTTTCTTTATTTTTGCAGTTTCCTCTTTGTTTCGGTGCGTTCTGCACTTGCATACGCTCAGAACCGGCTGCGTGGGGACGTCAGGACTTCCCACATAGTTACAAAATGGAGACTGATTGGATTTGCTTTATTTATTTATTTATTTAAAATTGATTTTGGGATTGGCTAACAGCCATTGCTAAACAATTTGGAGTTCATCCTTCCACTAAGATAAATAATATTCCCAGGCGGAAAACATTTAGGACACCTGCCAATCTTCCAAGGACTGAACATCTCTGCAAATTCACCCCACCGTCCAAAGGACAGAACAACCCAACCCTAACTCAGATTCAACAGATCTTTAAAGCTCATGAAATTAAAGTTAATTAAAAAAGGTGGCTCGTTTTCCAGGAGAAGCTAGCTTTAAGACGTCTGGAACTGTGATGAGACCAGAACAGAGATGTCTGACTGTGTTTCTGTAAAACCGAACGGAACATGTCATCACAAAACCTGCTCCTCAGACAACTTATCAGAAGCTAACGTTAGCACTGAACGTCAACTGGATGTAAACATACAGCAAGCCAGGAGAGACACAAGATGTCATGGGGGAGAATCAATCTCATGCCCTAATCATTTTTCCCAAATTTAAATGAAATCGATCCAAGATAGATGAAATTGATTTTTTAACCCAACCATAACACTAGTAACCTAAAGTTTTTGAGCTTTCTCTGCTCCAGCACACCTGATTTGAATGAATAGGTGTTTAACATGTTTCTGTAGAACTTGAAGGGTAATTAGGTCACTGAATCAGGTGTGTTGGAGCAGGAAACAAGTAAAACACGCAGGATGGCGACTCTTGAGGACCAGGATTGGACACTTCTGTGTTAAACCAGCTGCCAGCACGGTGGTGGAGGGCTGATTGTTTGGGCTCCTTTCAGCCATCGAGTCGATCGTGAACTCTGTAGACCAAAGAGTCAAACGTGAGTCCATCTGCCCGGCAGCTGAAGCTTGGACCAAACTGGGTTTCTCAAACATCAGCTGATCTTCAACAGGACAGCTCAAAAAGAGATTAATCAAGTTGCTGCAACGGTTCGGTGTCCAGAATTTTCCTTAGCCTTGTTTTATTTAACCGTTATAAGTGTTTTAGCCTGTTGAGGGCAACAACTGGAAGTTTAAAGCACTCATTCTGCTCCTTGGATTGGATGTTGATTTATTTTAAGAACCATTTCTGAGGAGTTGAATAATTACTTTTTATGTAAATGTAAAAAAATCCAGTGTTGAATATTTATTAGTGCATTAATTTAAGACTGGTGCTCAGTATCCATCTCTATAAAACTTTATTAAAATGTATACCTATGCCTCTGTTTAAATATCTACTTTTATTTTGGTAAGTTGCTGATTGGTTCCACCAGTGCCAAACAGATGTTTTTACTTTTCACGTGTACAAAACAGAGCTGAATATGATAAATTGCAGCTGATCGCTGTCCTTAATCAACAGATTTATCAGCTGTCTGAGTGGCGACTGGTCTTCCTGGTGAAAAACTTTCCTGTAGGACAGCGAGTTCTGGTGGACAGTTCTTCTGGCCAATCAGCAACTCAAGGAGACGGGAAGAAAGAAGAAATCACCCGACAAGGAGAGTTTCCTTTAATCAAAGAGGTAGCTTTGGTTTCTCTGGGCAACAACTGCAGCAGGCCGTATTTACTGGTGAGGATTTTTTTTTTTACTTTGAGTTCGTTCCGTCTCGACTGGAATCTCATCCGGGAAACCTGTTTTGTCCTTTTGTATTTCTTGTTTTTAAGGTCTACGTAGAGAACGAGCTTCTGATCTACGAGGCGTTCCCTTACGATCAACAGCAGCCACAAAACAACCTGAAAGTCCGCTTCAAAAAAGTACGAGTCACGGGAGACGGACAGGAGCCAATCAGCTTCTGATGAAATCCGATTTAACGGCGGTTCTCTTTTCCGAACAGGTTCACCACAACATTAACTTCAGAGAGAAGAAGTCCAAGCCTAAGAGGGAGAAGAAGGCTGAAGGTGGTGCTGAGGAGGCTTCAGCAGTGAAAAGCAGGATCGCCAGGTTCAGATACTTCGAGGACATCTCCGGCTACTCGGGGGTATGAAAGCTGTTTCACAAACATGTAGAGGTTTCCTCCAGAAGCAGCGCTGCTCTTACATTTCCTGCGTCCTCGTTGGTTCAGGTGTTTATCTGCGGCCCGTCCCCTCACTGGATGCTCGTCACCTCGCGAGGAGCCCTGAGGCTTCATCCCATGACCATCGACGGACCCATCGACTCCTTCTCTCCCTTCCACAACATCAACTGTCCCAAAGGCTTCCTCTACTTCAACAAGCAGGTACAGAATGGGAATAGAAGAAGAATACAAAAAGCCTTTATTGTCCCACTGAGGGGAAATTCAGGTGTCACAGCAGCATCAGTACAGAGGTTCACACACTAGTTTACAAACTATAGAAAAATGAACAAAAAATAAAATTACCACTAACTATAGCAATGATACTACTACTAATAAAAAATAAATATAATCTAAAAGATTGTGCAAGAATAAAAAAAGATATGCTTTGTTTTAGAGACTGTATTTACCTATCAGTATTTGACATTAGAAATTAGAATTTTTCTATTTTCAGTGCAAAACAATTCCAACAGATTATTAACTGTAAGTATGACAGTGCAGGCAAGAAACACAGATGTGCAATTACAGCAGAAATGTTATTTTAAAGTTTAGAATTTGTAATAACAGAGCAAATGATAGCTTTGATTAGTAACCTAAATGAGTTGTAGTGCAAATGATTGTTCAGATTAGTAATGACAATGAATAATAGTACAAATGATTGTGCGGGCAGCGGTGTGTACGGAAGAGCATTGCATTCACCAAATTAAAAAAAAAAGACTCCTGATCTCATAATTACGAGATCTTGATCTCATTATTACGAGAAAAAAATGTCATAATTACGAGGTAAGTTCAGCAGATCTACATTGCAGGAAAAGTGAACAATGACAGTACTATCACATTTCATATGCGTTTTATTTCCTCTTGGGTATGAAATATTGGGAAAAATTGAGTTTACTTAATGTGGATGGTGTTGTGTCTGCAGGTTTATTAATAAATCCATCTGCACACCAGTCTAAGAGAGTTCTGTTTAATTCAGCTTCGGCACATACGACACAAACAACACCGTCATTTAGCTGGTAGTGGTACTTCTGGTTTCAGCGAATGAATATTTCAAAATAAGAGTCCGATTCAACACAGTCCTAACAAAACATCACAGAGTATGATGCTGTATGGATGATAAGTATGTCGACATTACGCAGGTATCTTTCCCTGCGGTTGTTCAAGCAAAAAGCCCACTCTGACATACTGGAAGTCACTCTCTTCCTGCAGTACGAGATGCTATGGCTATAAGTAGCTAATGCCTCTGAAATGCTTAAATGATTTCCTGTATGTACACAAAGAGCACACATTTCCTCCTTTTTCAACCCTGCAGGTCACAACTCTGGTGAATAAACATACAGCTTGTTCTGGGCACTCGTGCGTTCAGCATTACACACAGTGTCCAGGACCGATACCTGCACAAAATCCACAGGAGATCAGGATCTCATAATTATGACATCTTATCTCATGATTATGAGATCTTTTCTTGTAATTATGAGATAAGATCTCATAATTATGAGATCCTGATCTTGTAAATATGAGACCAGGAGTCAATTTTTTTTGTTTGGTGAATGCAATGCTCTTCCGTAGGTGTGTAAACACTTATTGTGATTTTTGGGCGCGGTGCTGGTTATAGAGTCTGACAGCTGCAGGGAGGAAGGATCTGCGATAACGCTCCTTTGTGCACCTCAGATGCAGCAGTCTGTCGCTGAAGGAGCTCTCCAGTTCAGCCACAGCTTCATGCCTGGGGTGGATGGACTGGGACTGGACTGGACTGGATTTAATATGTGAACTGTGAATAAATCTAGTTCATATTCATTTATTGTTAAGCAAGGAGTGAACTGATAATGAGATGTAACTGAATTAAAGATTTGATTTGATCTTTTAGGGATGTTTCTGAGGCTACGTTCACACTGCAGGCAAATCAGACCCAAATCCGATTTTTTTGACCCATCTGACTCGTATCCGATTTTTTAATGATAGTCTGAACGAGACAAATCCGATTTTTTCAAATCCTACCCAGGCCGTTTCAGTATGTGGTTTAAAATCGGATATATATCTGATGTTTTCAAAGTGACTGCAGTGTGAACGCTCATGTCACATTCATCTG